TTTTTCATATAGAATGTACATCCAAGAGTGTTACATATATACATAACATGACAAATAAAATAAAGGAAACTGTAGAAACGACCACTACAAAAAAAATGCGAAATTCCAACGGATTAATCCGTTGGAATTTTTCCAACGGATTTCCAACGGCATACCGTTGGAGTAATTCCAACGCATTTCTAACGGCTTTCCAACGGCATATCAACGGATATTTGAGTTGAAAAATTTCCACGTATATTCCAACGGATTTCCGTTGGAAATAACGTTCGACGAATTTCAACGGCAATCCGTTGAAATTATCCGAACGTTATGAAACACGGCAATAATTCCGACGGATATCTGTTGGAAATAGTCGAACGTTATAACGTTCGAAATATTCCAACGGATATCCGTTGGCAAGTGTAACGGTAACGAACTTTTCAACGGATTTCCAACGGATATCCGTTGGAACGTTTCTCTATTTAAAGCACCCGGCCATAGTTCGCCCAAACCACTCTCTAAAGCACTCTTATACTATTCTTTTACCAAAAATTCTCCTAAAAATGACATCTTCAACAAATCCGAATATTCGTTCGTCCCGGCAGTGGATATACGAAAGAGTTGATTCGATTACAAAAGAGGTAACACAAGAATTCATTAACGGTTTGGAACAGTTTATGAATTTTGCTTCTATGCAGCCGTTGTGTCAAGAACGTGGAAAAATGCTATGTCCATGTACAAGTTGTCGCAATTTTAAATATCGCAGTACAGAAGATGTTTGTAAACATCTATTTCGAAGGGGATTTGTCGAAGATTATTATATTTGGCGATTTCATGGAGAAGAAGTTCGGACAATCACAACGGGACAACATGTCTCGGCCGAGCAGAGGTATGATGTAGATGAAGATGTAAGAAATCCTTATGTTGAAATGATGACAGATGCTTTTCCTGGGGGCATTGGCTGAGCAAAACTCATCACAAGATCAGGAGGAGCCAAACGTCGAAACAAACGGTTTTTCGACATGTTGGATATGGCAAATCATCCTATCTATGAAGGATGTAAAGAAGGTCAGTCACGTTTATCTCTTGCATCAAGATTGATGAGTATGAAAACGGATTACAATGTCACCGAAAGTTGCATGGATTCATTTTGTCAAACGTTGCGTGAATATTTACCTGAAAATAACGAAGCTCCGATTATTATATTTGGCAATTTCATGGAGAAGAAGTTCGGATAATCACAACGGGACAACATGTCTCGGTCGAGCAGAGGTATGATGTAGATGAAGATGTGAGAAACTTTATGTTGAAATGGTGACAAATGCTTTTCCTGGGGCATTGGCTGGGCAAAACTCATCACAAGATCAGGAGGAGCCAAACATCGAAACAAAACGGTTTTTCGACATGTTGGATATGGCAAATCATCCTATCTATGAAGGATGTAAAGAAGGTCAGTCACGTTTATCTCTTGCATCAAGATTGATGAGTATGAAAACGGATTACAATGTCACCGAAAGTTGCATGGATTCATTTTGTCAAACGTTGCGTGAATATTTACCTGAAAATAACGAAGCTCCAGAATCGTATTATGATACGAAGGCTATGTTGAAGAATTTGGGAATGCCTTATGAAAAGATTCATGTTTGCAAAAATGGTTGCATGCTGTACTGGGGTGAAGAAAAAAAAGTACACCGATAAAGTTTACAAAGAGTTTAACCAGTTGGGTATGCAGCGGTTGAAACAAATGATGAACAATGCCAAACGCCGTCATCAGCTGCATGAACTGCCACCGGAGTGGGCAACAAATGACTTGTACCGGCAGCTTCTTACGCATTGGAACTCAGACCATTTCAAGAACAAGAGTTCCAAGGCGAAACAAAGTCGTTTGTCCCAAAAAATCGAGGGTGATGGGCCTCATCGTCATACCTCCGGTGCTAAATCATTCAAGAAGAGGCAAAAAGAGATGGTATTTATTTAAACTTTAATTTAATTTTTAATTAGTTTTTTAATTGTAGATTTTTTATTATGTTAATAATATATATATATATATATATATAATGGGGAGAACGCCATCAATCGTAGAGTTGGTCGCTCGGACATACAAAAAGCCCGATGGGACATATGTCAATACCCGTGCAGAACGAGTTGTAAGCACGGTAACTCAACGACTCACCCAACTCTCGCAAAATGTTGGCGATTCAGCGGGTTCTTCATCCGGTCTCTCTGCATCGGACCAAGATCGTTGCTATGTGGAGGTACAACTTAAAATAATTCATTTTTAAATATTATATTTTAATA